CCCCACAATATGATCATCAGAGCCCCAGAATATGATAATTAGAACCCCACAATATGATCATCAGAGCCCCAGAATATGATCATTTGAACCAAACAATAGGATCATCAGAGCCCCACAACATGAACATCAGAGCCCCAGAATATGATCATCAGAGCCCCACAATAGGATCATCAGAACCCCACAATAGGATCATCAATGCCCCACAATATGATCATCAGAACCCTACAATATGATTATCAGAGCCCCACAATAGGATCATCAGAACCCCACAATAGGATCATCAATGCCCCACAATATGATCATCAGAGCCCTACAATATGATCATCAGAGCCCCACAATAGGATCATCAGAACCCCACAATAGGATTTTTTAAATCGATTTTTGAAGTAAAAAAATTCAAAGTTGGTTAGCCTATATAGGGGACTCAAGGGTTTAACAAATTTCAGCCCATTCTGTCCAGCCGTTATAGCTGACATATAAATATATTTAAATACAAATAATCAATTTAATCAAAAAAAAAAAACATATAATACAAATAAATACAAATATGTATACACGAGCAAAGAGCTTTATTATATATTTAGAGGGAATTCACGAAACCCCATGACTTATTATTTCGTGATATATAACCACAGTGTAAAAAGAGTGTCTGATTTTGTTTTCTAAATTACAAAGGTTAATATAACAGATGGAGTGATGGCGTCAGACTAGAGTAAAATTATTTGTTTCAAAACAGAACTAAAAACATTGGAATTCAAAATAAAGAAAATATTTTTTTTTCTTTCAAAAATTTATCAGATAAAGTCATTTTCTTACTCTCCCACTTTATATAAAATCTTTCTAAATCTTTCCCCCTTGATATATCCTTATGCAAAAAGAACAAATTTTCTCGAAAACAACATTTATAAACACTATCCTGATTGGGCTATTTTTGTCTAATATAGATTCCAGGGGGCGGGGGTTGAGCTAGGGGAGTGTGAAACATTATTTTTAACATTTAACTTTTCAAGGCCAGCTCATTAAAAAATGGTTGGTGAAAGGGAAAATTGAAAAGTTAAAAAAGCATGTTATAAAAATGTTCAAAAATCATTTTTTTTAATATGTGACAGTGACACATAAATTTTATCTTTGTAATTAAAATTTATTCTAAACACTGACCCACCGTTTGACTGTGGCCATACTGACCAATTGTTAAATGCTAAAAGACCGCATTTTTATGTAATTTGAGTGCTTGAATGGAAAGTTTTTTCACTAAGAAAAGAATTATAAAATATTTTGCCGCAAATTCTAATTTTCTTTTTCCTAAATCTTTGCAATCTTTGATGTTTAAACAAGGGGTGTAATCTGTCGTCTTTGTAATAAGGACAGAGATCAGGGACAGAAGGGAATCGGTGTTAGGTATAGATCATGTAGTGACATAAAGGAAAATACGGGTTGCGGCATCTGTTTATATACAGTGTACACAGCTCTGGGGTATGTAATCAGTAAACAGTATATTTTGAGCATCATGCGATACTGTTCTGTGGTTAACTGTACCACAAATGGTTCTCATGTTGATATGAGAATCCATACTGTTCGTGAAGAATGGAAATCTTTTAGCTGTTAGAAAAATATTCCAACTTTTATCTGCTCTCGTCATTTTACTCAAAACTCTTACAACAAATTAAAGAAGAAATTAAAAGACAAATTATTTTGTGGCAGATAGATATTATACCGAATCTGTCTCAAAACTGTGTCTAATCTGAATGACAGAACACCCTGACATCTTTAAGAAGGCTGATCATGGAGAACTACATAAATATTCCTTGCTTAGAGAAACTGCACTACTGTACACAGTCCTACGGCTGAAACATCTTGCCAAGAAGAAGAACTTTGATTCAAAAAAGTCAAAAATTAGAAAAAGTTCAACAAACTTGTTCTTTTTTGCCAACCAATAAGTTTGTTCATGGTGATCATTATTTTGTTTAATAGATTTTTTAATACATTTCTTTATAAAACCATGTAAATTTTATTCACGAGAGAACAAAAAAAATCAAAAAGAGTGACGTCCTTATTTGTTTTGTTGTGAGACAACATCTGAGAACTTTTGAATCAACAAAATAAGTTAAAACCTTCCTCTCAGATCTCTGATTAAAATTAAAACTGCAAAATTACTCATATATCTTTTGTGAATTTTCGGGATTTGTTTGAAAAAGATTGTATCTAAGACAGATTTGAACTTATTTTGCCAATTCAAAAGTGTTCAACTTTAACACTGAAAGTGACGTATCTTGCTGGGAACCATGCTTTTTTTTTAGTCCAAAAATTACAATTTAAATTCTTCCAATTTATGCCATGAGATTTAACATATGATTGCTAATTGACTTTTTGACAAAATAATTATTTTGGCATTTGTCGAAAAACCAATATAAGGTTAAGAAATTTAAAATAAAATACATCAACAACATTTTTAGCATACAAGTTAGGGCCGAACCGGGGGGGACCGCGCCCCCATGTGCCCCCCTCATGTAGGATGAAATGGAGGGAGGACTCGCACGCTTGGCTGCGTTAATTCTCAGTATTCTCGAACCCGTTTTTATATCAAAAGAGCCATTTTGGATGTTTTGCGTCATGTTTTTCATATTGCAATAAACTACATAGAAACGTACAAAAATGTTTGATTTTAAATCGTGAAAATTTCGAACTTATATCTGAAGACGACATTTACATGGGTCTTTAGTCTATTTTTTCTAGTCTTTACTTTCCAAACGAAATCCTTTCATGAAATTATTTAAAAACCAAATAAAACCTTATGGCCCAACCTGTCGTCGTTTCCTTAGTCTGTTCCACTTTAGTATTTATTCACTTTGGCATAATATGCTAAATATTTTTTGAATATTTGAACTTTGCACAAGGAGTTAGAAAAACGACTTGACAAATGTACATTAATTGGTTTCTGCATTTATATTCATGCTTAAAAAGACGTCTACAAAAATCCCCCTCTTCATTAAAAGTACATGCTAACCTTTATGTTCAATTATAAGGGTTCTGTACAATTCCCCTGTACAAACTGTCCATCAGCATTCTATACTCTACCCTTTCTCCGTGTTTAAAGCTTAGCCTGAAAAATCTAAATGTCTCTAATAAGGTCTTATAGATATTGGAATTAGAAAATTAGGAATTGTTGCAAAAATTCAGTTCCTTCACGGTGTAATTGTGCTATAGAAGCCAAAAGAATGTGCTTTGAGGCAACTTAGGCTACATCCTCAGATGGTTATTAAGAAACGCAAACTTCTATTAAAAGAAAGAGCAAAATACAATTTTCATTTAAAAAGTAAAAGATCTTCAGTTTTTAATGACTTTTTACAAAAAAAGTTCTTTCTGTGTTTACTTTGAATATATGCTTTACTGAAAAAAACAATGAACTTTTTTTCTGCGTGGACCTGATATTTAACAAATGATTTCTTTAAAAAGCATTAAAGCAATTAAAAGGATACAATTCATGATTTATTTTCATTGACATTTTTCATATAATTTAGATAATTTACTTATTTACAACTGAATGCTAGAGAGTTGGAAAACTCTTTAATGTCCTAGATAATTTTACCCGCCTTTTGTGCAGCTGTTACCATTTAATGTCAATATTTGTCCATCATTGTCTGAAGCCAAAACCAACTGATCATTTATTACATGAAGGTTGGGCCATTGTGACACGTATTGGTGTAAACTGCCCCAAAATCAAAATTTGGGTTACATGTGAATATTTCCGTGCGTCTGTGTGTTATCATAGAATCTTTTCATTTATTTGTGATAATCTTGAATCAAAATAAAATCACACTTGAAAAAAAATTCAACAATGCATGAGTTTTCCTTGCGCCTGTGGGTTTTCATTCACATCTTCAAGCAAATTGTTAAAAACTTTCATTTCATTTCAAAAATATCATTTTATTTAGCAAAATCCTGCGTTTTTGCGTCGCACATAAAAAGCATGAAACTCACACTTGAAAAAAAATTCAACAATGAATATGTTTTCCTTGCGCCTGTGCGTTTTCATTCACATCTTTCAGCTTTGTTAAAAACTTTAATTTCATTTCAAAAATATCATTTTATTCAGTAAAATCCTGCGTTTTTGCGCCACACAAAAAAGCATGAAAATCACACTTGAAAAAAAAATTCAACAATGCATGTGTTTTCCTTGCGCCTGTGCGTTTTCATTCACATCTTTCAGCAATTTGTTAAAAACTTTGATTTTGTTTCAAAAATATCATTTTATTTAGCAAAATCCTGCGTTTTTGCGCCGAATGATGAAAAATCTAAATGTCTCTAATAAAATTTAAAGATACTAGAAATTCAAGGCGCTTCGCGCCCTTCTTTCTAGCCTTAGAGGGCGCTTCGTGCCCATCTCCTAAATTAATTGTGAACATGTTCTCTTTGTGTACATCGTAAAACAAAACAAAAATAATTCGCGGATTTTCACAAAAAATTTAACGGATTTTCAAAATTTTAAAAAAATTAATGACGATCGAATTTTGATGGAGACAAATATTTGAAATTTTGATGATTCATAAACCTTCCCTGGAGTCCCTAGATGCCCCACAAAAAATTTGGGCCCGATCGGTTCAGCCGTTTTGACGTTTATTGGATACAAACAGACAGACAAACAGACAAGCCAAATTTATATATAGATTGGAATTAGAAAAATCAGGAATTGTTGCAAAAATTCAGTTTCTTTGTGGTGTAAGTGTGCTATAGAAGTCAAAAGAATATGCTTTGAGGCAACTTAGGCTATATCCTGAGATGGTTGTTAAGAAACATGAACAATTTTAGATTATTCAATTACAAGAAAGAGCAAAATACAATTTTTTATTTAAAAAACAAAAGAACTTCAGTTTTTAATGACTTTTTACAAAAACAATTTCTTTCTGTATTTACTTTCAGTATATGCTTTACTCAAAAAAACAGAGAACTTTTTTTCTGCATGGATCTGAACAAAATGTTTCCATATAAGAGCATTAAAGCAATTAAATTCAATTCATGATTTATTTTCCTTTAAATTTTTCATATAATTTTGATAATTTACTTATTTACATGTGAATACTACAGAGTTGGAAACATTGTTAACTTTCATGACTACATAACCCTGTAGCCAATCCCGGTCTTTTAAATAAGCGGTATTCAAGATCAATATTTGACGATTTCCTTCAGGCCTGGCTGCAGCCAATACCAACTCTCCATCCAATACATGAAGGTCGGGCCATTGATATGCTTCAGGTAAACGTGGGCCCTGTCTCCACCTCATGATTTCCAGAATAAGAATCTCCATAGTACGAGATGGATCCTCTGAATTAATAGGGTGTAAAGAACACAATACATCAATCAATATAATGTTCTAGATGCATTAAAATATTGTTTAATATAAATTACTTTATTACATAATGACCCTGACTATATTAGACATCTATTACTAGGTTCAGCATTGATGAGACCAGGTTCTCCAGGCTGATGTTTCTACAGAATCTCTTCTGTAGCCAATCGAATTGAGCAATATGCTGAGGCTAATTCTTTACCAACTTCGCCTACTCTTCCAGTACAGACAGATTTTCAGTTGGATTGAGGTCCGGAGAGATACTCCTTCACCCATATGTAAGACTGAAGGTCCTGGAGCCACTGGAGACTTGTAGCAGCTGTATGACAGTAAGCTCCATCTTGCATAAATGTCACTTTAGACTTTATTTTTGGTCACTTTCTACAAGTGATAATTTGGAGACCCTGCAGAACCTGATCTCATTTATACCGAACCAAGTAATAGATGTTTATAATGGTCGGGGTCAGTATGTACTAAAATGAATTTATAATAAACAATTTTTTGACGCATCTGGTACATCTCAGTTTTAAGTGATACAATACTTTCTTTACACCCTATAATATAAAAATAATTTATTTTAAATGAAGTATGGTAAGGTCATTTGTAAACAATCGATTTTGTTCTTTTTCAATTATATATTATATTAATATTTGTTTATTTTCCATCTATTTTTTTCTTTATTAGTAAATTTGTTAATTCAGTAAAATAGTTCTTTTAGTAAAATAACTATAATCTTTTTAAAAGTTGTTCAAAACAATTGTTCATTCAGTAAACAAATTGTAAAAAAATTGTTCTTTCTGAATAGTTTTTCTTTCTGTATAGTTTTTTAACTTTAATTATTTCAAACTGTTAGTTTTCGTTTTTTTGTCCATTTTTAAAATTAATCGTTTTTGATTTCTCTGAATGATCAAAGTTGTTTCTTAATTGTTAGTTTTTTATCTGAACAACACTATCGTTCACAAAAATTTTGTTTGTTTACAATTATAATGCACATCCCTTATTGCGACACTTATTATATGACTTAAAGGGAGTGTTCCCTAAAAATGAAAGGGGGTATAGGCTTAATGCGATAAAAAAGCGCTTTTGATCGACACTAATCTTACTTCTATCTGTTGCGTCTATAAGGAGAAAATTGATAAAGACGTCTCATACCGAAGAGCGTAGTACCCATACAAATTGAGGAAGTTGGAACATACAACTTAGACCGTAAAAAAATCAAATTAATATCAAACAAATCATTCAGATATTACAACCTTTAGTCATCGATTATCTTTCTCCACATTTGTATACATTTGATATTTCATACTAGTTTTGATTATGTTTTTTAAAATAATATTTAGCTTACAACTTGTTTTCCAACATTCCTGGAAAATATGAAAATGTCGTCTTCATTACCAAAAATCCTCGAAACAGGAATAAACGTTTTTATAAATAACGCTCAGATCATAACAATTAAAACATATTATGAAAAATCAACTATATATAAATGTGGCGAAAGATAATCGATGACTATGGTTGTAATATCTGAATGATTTGTTTGAAATTAAATTGATTATTTTACGGTCTAAGTGGTGATGCAATTTTCTCAATTTGTATGGACGCCATGTTATTCGGTATGAGAAGTCTTTGACAATTTTCTCCTTATAGACGCAACAGATAGAAGTAAGATTAGTGTCGATCAAAAGCACTTTTTATCGCATTAAGCCTATACCCCTAGTATTAGAGACTGGGAGCGAGAGGTGTTGTCGGCAGCAGGTTAGGGTATACACTGATGTTTATAAAGTGGTGCACCAACAAAATGTCTATGGGTCATGACATCACAAATGTCTGTGTCTTCCCAGAAAGGATGGGACAATTTGGGACTTTTTTAATAATAATGTTCAGATCCTTACAGCACGTGTCAAAACAAATCCATAATCAATATTAGATCACTAGTGCAAGCAAAAATATTTTTTCTTAAATATGTTGATATATATGGGTACCAAAAAATCCGTCTTGAAACATTAAATTCAAAATTATTAAAGTATTAAAAATAAGCCCTAGATCAGCCCATTTTCATAATTTCAAAATACCGACAATTTGGCAATATTCAGTGGTTCAATGCGCAACTTTAGACACCCATGTCAGCATGGTTTGATAAAAATTAAAAGTCAACCTCTCTTAGTGATTGTTAAATTAGTAAGTTCTTGCGCCGACCCATTTCATAAAAAATCAAAAAAAAATTTATATTGTTTTTTTGTAAATTTAATTAAACAATTTTGCTACAAGTTTTTAAAAAAATGCTATTATCACAGGGTAATTGCCCAGCGTAAAACTGGACTTTAAAGTTATAATTAATGATTTTACAGCTCAACTTAAAGCTAAGATTATATCAGATATTTACACTTTAATACACCAGTTTTTCACCACAGCCAGGTCTACTAAGATTATGGCTGGGCAAATTTCCCTTAATGGAACTGAGCTTTTCGATAATTAATGAAAGAATCAATTAAGAAACAGCAAAAATCGTTAATTTTAAATTGTTAATGAAATGGATTAGTCCTTTTTAAGAAAAAAATTAATGGTTGAGAATGAAAACAAAATGGGTTTTTAATTTAAATGGTGAATTTCGTTTTTTTGCGCTGTTAATACTAAAATAAACCCTTTCATAAACGGTTAACTAACTTTTTTTTCTGGGCTTCAGTCTGTTAATAATGTTTTAGACTGTTATCAGCTAGAGCCAATATCGATTATTAAAAATTTTCCATTAATGTTGTCAATAAATTAAGATAATTAATTATAATTTAAACAAAAAGCGGAAAATGCTGTTAACAAAATGAATGTTCTAGAAAAAGTTGTAACATGCCAAACCCTAATTAAGATCCAATTATATTTGGAAATTTTAAAAACATCATCAAAACCTTCCATATTTAAAAGTTATTGAAAGCAATGTTCATTTATTGTTTTTACTCATTTTAGAAGGGCTCATTTACACTTGCCACACTACTTTTGCCAAAAATACAGTTATTATAATTAAACTTGTCATAAATCCTTTTGCATAAATACAGTTACCATAATTACACTTGAAATAAATACTTTTTTGAAGAAAATATTGGAAATGCTTGGTTAAATTGTTAAATATAGTTGTTTGTTAAAAAAGCGTTTATGTTTGTTAATTGTAACTTTTTTAATTATGCCAAGTGCAACTTATGGCAAGTGTAATTTATGGCGAATGTATTAAAGGCTAAAGTATTATGGCAAATGTAACTTTGGAACTAAAATTGTCCAGAGAGAATGTAACCTTTTAAGTTCATACTTACATAACTGAGAATGATTGGCCAATCCTGACTTACCATAGAGGCGTTTGCCGAAAGTGACTCCCCCAGCAACATAAACTTGTTTGTTGTAAAGTGTACAACCTAAACCCTGCCTAAACAATCATCATTAAATAAATATAAGGTACTCCCCTTAAAATGTCATAATTAAAAAAGTAATGCTTTAATACAAGAAATGCATCACTTTGGAACAGTCAATTTAGAAATGATGCTTTTAGATTCCATTGATATTATTACAGTTACCATAGCATCATACTGTTTTTTTTTTGAGCCACATAACCAAACATTGTGAAAGATGATTAAAATGCATCATACTGGGCTACATTTAACAAATTATAATCTTTTAAATTCATTTTAAAAATAAATGGAAAATAAACCATGATTTAGGAAATGAATGAATGCAAGTTATACTGGACAACTTGAAAAAATGATGATATATGAAGTTAGGAAGTAGCTGAGAAATTGCACATTTTGAAAGTTGCTACTTGGGAAGTTGAGTATCCAAAAAAGGTTAAATGTTTCTAATAAATTCATTAATTTAGTATTACTTAAAAGTATAACCTTCTATATTTCATTTTGGAAAATTGTCTTCCAGTAAAGCCATCATTGATATCATAGTGAACCACAGAGGAACTCACACCATCAATTATAGATGGTTCATTGGATGAATAGGATTCAGTACCCCCAATGAACAAGATTTCTGTGTCACTTGAATACATATAAATATAGATAGTATAGAGTTTCTATTATCAAATGTATGTAGTGCAGAAAATGTAAAAATCAATTCAGCCTTCCTGTTAAATTTTCCACTCCTTTTCTCAAAAATAATTTTATAGTCTAGAGCACAGTTTACTAAACTTGATAAACCAATATCAGTTTTACCTTATTGCAACAGCACAGTGACCTAGTCCCATACCTAGTCCCAAAGAACGGGGATATGTGTGTGGAAGAATTTTCCAATTTATTCCGTTGAATACTTCCAGTGAAGTTACCAATTGTAAAGGTTGGTTTGATTCACTATCAATTAAATCAACATTAGTAGATTATGTTCAAAAGTATTAAAATTTATCTTGTTGCCAAGTGTCTAAGTTTATCTTGTGTTTAATATTTAGAGATGCAATGCAAAGAAGATGAAACCATGATTGCCCAAATACCACTAATACTATGTTTAAAGGGAGTGTTCGTGAAAAATGAAAGGGGGTATAGGCTTTATGCAATAAAAAAGCGCTTTTGATAGCTCCTAATCTTACTTCTATCTGTTGCGTCTATAAGGAGAAAATTGTTAAAGACGTCTAATACCGAATAACTTAGCGGCCATACAAATTGAGAAAATTGCAACATACTACTTAGACCGTAAAAAAACAATTTAATTTTAAACAAATCATTTAGATATTACAACCTATAGTCATCGATTATCTATCGCCACATTTGTATATAGTTTATATTTTATAATATTTTGTTTTTTTAGAAAACGTTTTCAACGGATTTCAAAAATTGTGAGTGGTGTGCGGCATTCCTAGATAGCTGCATAAGCGACTAGAGAAACAAACAAATTAATTAAAAAATCTGACAAATATTTACAATATCTATTCCTTTCAGCTTTTCATAGTCTTTACTAGTATGCAAGAGTGTCTTCTAACTATTCATGCTATAAAGCCTAGTTACAGTATGATAATTTGATGTCCAATTACAATACTCATCACTTACTCATCATTCGGAGTGACTCCTTCGAAGTTAAGACCACCAGCTGCTATCAAAACATCTCCTATGGGGGTTAATGAAAGCCCTGCCCTTTCCTTATTCATGCTTGCCGCCTGTACCCAGTGCCCCCCAACATTCTTATAGCAGTTTTTCCAAATCCTGAAATATTATCAAGTATGAAATCTTAGCACTAAATTTAAACGTTTAACGGTCATGATTTTCAGATTTAAAAATTGTATTTAAAAATTTTAGAAAAGCTTGGCATTGAAGGAAATGAATATACTAAATTTATTAGTTTTGGGAATATGTATTAACAGTAACATCAAGATTTTCTAAATGATAGAAGTTACTGTCTTTGTCTGAGGTAATTTCGTGTTTAAGTCTAATTTCTAAAGAAAAGTTTGTTTACCATACGATACTACAACATTGAATTCATTATGTAGATAAAACAGCTTGTTTCGAATTGATTAATTATTTTTATAAAAAAGTTTTTTCCAATTGATGCATTATTTAAATAAAAAGTCGGTTTCCAATAATGAACAATTTTCAAGACATTAATTTTGAGTTGGTTTATTGTATGGGAAAAAAAGCTCTTAGGATGATAATTTTGGGTATTTATTGAAGCCTCCACATGCGTATATTTCACCATTGTAAACAGCTGAACCTATTCAAAAAAACCGTAAAACATAATTGTAAGAAGTACATCAGAATCAGATTAATGTAATAATGTACAGGGTGTCCACCACAGTCTACAAGTTGCATGATCCATGCCGGTACAACACATACTGTTATATGCATTCAGTCAAACTGTACAGTTAGGCTACCCTGGGGATACACTACTCAAATATTACAGGGGATATTAGTTCCAAAACTAACACTTGGCCCATTTCTAACACTCAGTGCTAGAAACAGGCCAAATCTGCAAAGTTATCTTTTTCAAATGGCTAAAATTATAAATTGAAACATTAAATGCCAATTTTAAACTAACAACAAGGTGTACGAATTAGTTTTTGATGATTCTTGATTTCGTTTTGGAACATATCCCTAATTTGAAACAATTACCTAATTTCGGCTCATGTCCTGTTTTGGAACACTATAGCCTTAGAGGGCATTTCACGCCCATCTTCTAAATTAATTGTGAACATGTTCTCTTTGTGTACATCGTAAAACAAAACAAAAATAATTCGCGGATTTTCACAAAAAATTTCGTGGATTTTCAAAATTTTCAAAAATTTAATGAAGATCGAATTTTGATGGAGACAAATATTTGAAATTTTGATCATTCTTAAACCTTCTCTGGGGTCCCTAGATGTCCCACAAAAAATTTGGGCCTGATCGGTTCAGCCGTTTTGACGTTTATTGGATACAAACAAACAGACAAGCCAAATTTATATATAGACTAGAAATTCAAGGCGCTTTGCGCCCTTCTTTCTAGGCTTATAGGGCACTTTGCGCCCATCTTCTATTTTAATTGTGAACATGTTCTTTTTGTTTATATTTCAAAACAAAGATGAAAAAAATTTTGCAAATTTAAAAAAAAAAAATCGCGGATTTTCAAAAATTTTTTTACAAAATTAAAAACCTTTAAAACACAAATTTTTAAAATTTTAATCATTCATAAACCTTCCCTGGGGTTCCTAGATGTCCCACAAAAAATTTGGGCCCGATCGCTTCAGCTGTTTTGATGACAAGCCAAATTTATATATAGATATCCTGGTTTTGCGACAATTACCGGAATTCATATCAATGTCAATTTTCAAGTATTTACGCACTTATGAAACAAAACAAGATTTTTTGATAAGGTAAAATATAAATTAAATAGAAAATAAAAACAAACTGTTCTTTTATAAATTAAAAATCATTATAGCATTTAGAAATCAAAATATTAATATCATTTGTTCTTACAATATAGATTTAACTAGAAATGAGGGAAAGTGCTGGTTTAAAATGCTTGAAAATAAATCATCCATATTCTCTTATTAAACAGATAAAATGTGGAAAACATAGATTCTAGAAATAATTCTGAAGTTAAATTAGTCTTCATAAGATAATTTTTGTTTCCAGTGATTTATTTTGTGCGTTATGAAAGTGAGATTTGTTTTGAATTGTGGATTATACTCAAAAATGAGAAAGTGGGTTTTGTCTCAAAAATACAACAATGTTTCAAATTCAGGATATGTTGGAAAATGGAAAATATGACATTGTCTTGAAAACGGTCCAGAGCTTTAATATAACAAGAATTCCTGTTATAATTTTGATGTTTATAAAAAGTTATAAATTGGAAATTGTTGTCCTTGTCATGCTTAATAAAATGTTGGTTATAGTTTTAATTATATACTTTTACTCTGGATATGGGCCGGGATCCCAAAAACCCAGTCTTTCAATTTGTGCCCATTTCTAACACTCAGTGTTAGAAATGTGTCAAGGGTTAGTTTTGAAACTAATGTCCCCTGTATCAGGTTTTACAGATTTATCAAATTGAACAAAAATTCTAACGGTAGAACAGGCTAACTTGCACTTAAAAAGGTGAAAAATTGCATATTAATTAAAACAATGTTCAAACCTACACCATACTATTTAAAAATATTGCCTAAAAAATGTTTTATTGACAAGTTTAGAGGTAAATGTGGAGTTTCTCTTTCTTGGCCAAATGATGAAACCATAAAAAAATAGTTTTTCATTAAAAAAAATGCCCATTGATGTTAAGATTGCACAGTAAAAACAAATGACATATAGTAAACTTGTTTTGCAATGCTTAAAACCCTGCATTGTTATTGATATTTTGGGCCTAATAATGTCATACAGACTAAAATAATTCATCAAAAGTTACCTTCGTGGTCTTTAAAGATATTGGAGTTTTGTGTTTTGCACTACAATAGAGACATCAAAAGGCATTATTTCTTCTGTCACAGTTAAAAATACCTTTTTATGAACAAACTAATTAATTACCTCCATGCACAACTGCCTCTGAAAGAACATTATCTACAGGTAGTTGATCAAAGATGCTAACTCGGCAAGGGTATATTGCTGCTGGTTCAGGCTTTAACTCCTCTAACATAAGATCAGTAAACACCATAGGTAATGATCAATTAGTAAAGATGCTACATAGCACTATCTTATGTCATGAAAAAATGTTTTTTTTTATAAATTAGTTAACCCACTATGGCTGTAGTCTCCAGTTTCAGGAACTTCATAATCAATATAGGTGTCATGTTTGTAACCTCCAATGAAAAGAATACTTGGCTCCCTGAATCAGAAAAGCAGTTAAAAATTTGTTGACAACACACGTAACCAACAATATTTATTTAAAAAGGCCAAATCAAGGTTACACCTTAATATTTTATATGTGTTGGAATATATTTGATTTATATGCATGAATGAAGAGTGAACAATTTTTGACTATTAATAAAAATATGATACAGGATACAGCCAGAGACAAGGGCGTACAACAGCATTTGTGTTGGGTGTATTATGCACTTCTGAACATAATTGATTAAGCAATTTTTTATTTCATTCATTTTAACTGTGTACAGCCTGAATTTGATTAGCGCGCCCCACCACAAGATTATAAAAATGACAAAAAAATAGTTAAATGAACAAAAAATAGTTAAAATGAGAAAAAATAGTTTAGCTTTGACAAAAAAAATAGTTGAAATGAACAAAAAAAAATTAGTCACAATGAACAAAAAAGTAGTTCAAATGGACGTAAAAACAGTTCAAACAGACAAAAAAATAGTTCAAATGGACATAAAAATAGTTCAAATGGACAAAAAATAGTTCAAATGAACACAAAAATAGTTCAAATGCTGTGAATCAGCTGAAGTGATTAGGGGCCCCCAGTGGGAGGAGGCAGACACTGAACTCCAACCTTTGAGTTTGCGAGGTGGGGAAGACTTCACTGCTTCGCATATTTAAAAGCATGATTAAGAGGGGATGACATTTGTAGATCAAGATTGAATCCTAGCCGCAGTGCTCGGCCCGAAAAGTGTCTTAACCTAACCTAACCCTAAATAAAAGAAAGTGTCTTAACTTCCCTATAAACCATTTTACGTGACTAACGTTAAACCATTTCGTAATTCAACATTACGGAACGTACTAACAATTGTAACGTTACAGAACGTTAAATAACGTAAATGTTATCTATATAACGTAAGCTTACGTACCTTTACGAAGGTTGGTAACATTAGTTTTAGGTTTATATTGAACTTTAAATTTACGTAATATATTAGCGTAAATTTACGTTACATAACGTAAGATATAACGTCAGCTTAAAGTTTTCTTTGAACGTCAGATAAGGGTATTTAACATAATTGGGGTTTGTAAATAAACGTTAATTTACGAAATATCTTACTTCCTTGTAAGGTTTAAAGTTTTACATTTGATATCCATGCATGATATACGTAACAAAATTTTGGCAAATTTTGCGACTTAATCATATCAATGCCAAACTAGCTATTCATATAAATTCCCCTTAACATTTCAAAAAATGTTTTGTGCGTACCATTTCATGTGAATAGTTTAATTTAGCAGCATTATAAGATATTTGAATCAGCCCCCCTCCCTTAACATATCTGATAGAAAGATAGATACTGATAAATTTTACCCCCCCCCCACATCCCCTGTTGCTGGTTGAAGTAGAGTGTCTCAGCTGGTTGCAGGTTGTATAATGTACCGGCCCGGCCCGACCTGGAGCGTGCTCGATCAGGTTTAGCTGCTACAGGGTGTCCCACAAAACATGACATTTAATAAATCGTTATTTTTAGTTAAAAAATCTTCTTTTGCTTCATTATTTTTACAAATTATGGAAAAAGACATTCTAAACTATTTACCAACTGTCATGTTTCATGGGACACCTGGTAGCCTTATAGGTACCGCGTCCGCTTACTGTTGAGTGTTGAGTCAGGGCAGTCACTCACTTCATTCACCAGAGTCAGACCAGTTACTTGCGAGTCGCATACCAACAAACACATCAGTCACAGTTTACCTCACTTCAGCTGCAGCAGAAGAACAAAGAACGAAGTTTTTTATTTTATACGTCATTATGTTTGTTAAATTTTGAACAAATGTCACATGGAATAATTAAACAAGTATAATCAACAATCAACGAAAGCTGGAACAAGAATTTAACAGAAATAATTAACCATCACTGAATTTGATGTTAAATATGTTTAATAGAAGTACCGTGATTTTTTATATTTACTATTTATTTGTTGGTATATTTTTATCCTTTTCCTCAATAACTGATCATATTAATATCTTTTGTACAGTATTTTCTGAATGATAAGCAAATATGCAACTAAGAAAATAGTACCAATGTGTTCTCAACATAGTGTTCTCTATAGAACAATTAGGCAAGTACAAAGTATTTTTTACATCACAAGTTTAGTACAAAGTGTTTCCTACAGATTAATAGGTAAGTACTATAGTGCTCTACAAAACAATAGGTAAGAACATATGTGTTCTCATCAGAACATTAGGTAAGTACTTATGTGTTTGGTTTTGTTCTTTGGTACGTCAAATAATGTTATTCAACGTAACTTTGGTGAAAAATGAGCATATATTTTGGATTGATAAAAATCAAATTTTGGTTTCTTGTAAACATATTGTCATTGTTACGTTAAATAACATTACTCAAAACTGTGCCCATATTTGGGGTTTCTTTTGAGAAAGCTGCTTAAATGTTAAGGGTTCATTGACGTAAAAGTTAGGTTCATGTATGCAACTATACGTGCATTGTTACGTTAAATATCCTTACTTAACGTAACTTCTGTGGAAACTGTGCCCATATTTGGGGTTTCTGAATGTTTGGTTCATGAATGTCAGATAACGTTAAACTTAACGTTACATGACGTACCCTTTTTTACGTTACATAACGTAAAAGTGGGTACGTTTTTACGTTCCTGGAACGTTAAATAGTGACGTTAATTAACGTTATTGAGTCCTAAAAGGAACGTTATCTAACGTTCTCAGAACGTTATTTGTCTTGTTGGGTTAGCCTAACCCGTGGCCGCAGCACTCACCCCCCTGCCTGTCCTAGCCACAACGCTGGGTCCAGAAAGTGTCTTAACCTAACCTAACCCTAAATAAATACTAATTTAATTGAAAATTGTTGAAAAAGTGGTCATGTACAAAAGTAAAATTTGCAGTGAAGTCTTCTCTGCCTCGCACACTCGAAGGTTGGAGTTCAGCGTCTGCCATGGGAGGAGACAGACAAAGGGGCCGTGTAAAATCACGTCGGGAGTTGGAGTAAATCACATTTGAACTATTTATATGTTTTTTATGAACTATTTCATTTGAAATTTTGTGTGTTTATTTTTCATTTGAACTATTTATTTCTCATTTGAACTATTTTTTTCTCATTTGAACTAGTTTTTTGTTCATTTGAACTATTTCATTTGAACTGTTTTTTTTTCATTGAAAATTTATTTTAAGTTCGTTTGAACTATTTTTTTTTTCATTTGAACTATTCCATTTGAACTATTTTTATGTTCATTTGAACTATTTTTTGTTCATTTGAACTATTTATATGTTCATTTGAACAACTAAACAATTTTTATGTTCATTTAAACTATTTTTATGTTAATTTAAACCATTTTTATGTTCATTTGAAACATTTCTGTGTAATTGTTATCTAATTAATTGTCTATGAACTAACTTTATGGAAATTATAAAAAAAATTTAAAAACTAAATTGCGGTAGAACAATAGTTCAAATAAGGAAGAAATGTGTTGATTTGAACTACAGGATCTATGAGGTCATGTCAGTAGTTCAAATGAACAATAGTTCAAACGAACAATAGTTCAAATGGGAGTAGTTCAAATGAGAATCCACAGAGATTTTCCATGTGGGCTCTGCAGTCACTGAGTAAGTTAGATAAAAAGCCAGATTGATGTATAATGTAATGCCAGAACCATAATAAGGTCAACAATTTTTTTAAACAAAAATAGTCACTTATAAGGTTTAAATCAGTGGGGCTGGAACTTAGATACTTGGCTGTGTGTATTAGCCTGAGTGTACAAATAAGACAGCTTACTGAAATAGGACATGAAGAGATTGTGGCCTATTCATACCTTTAATGAATAATGAAGCATTGCCAGAGTTGGCTTAAGGGGTTGCTATGGAAACACCTCACCAGGGAAACATTTCACCAAGTAAATGCCTCAAAAACCGCTTTTGAGGAATTTTCATTTTATTTTGGGAAATCCCTCAAAACTGGAAAAGGTTGAGGATTTCCGAGGAAGGCTAAATATATTGCAATTTTTTGTTCTATTGTTGTTTATTTGGGTGCTCAAGGCCCAGCTGGGAGTTAAATTCTTGTACTAAAAAATGTTTGAGTGAGAGATTTAACATAATTTTTACGCCCTCCTAAACTAAAAAAGGTAAAAATTGTTTTAGATTCTTCATGTAGAAAAACTTTGAAGAAAATATTTTGGCTAACCCTTTTCAGAAGAATAATTAGGAATTGAGGAGGGCCTGAAAAGAAATAGTGTGTGCAGCCCGAAATGACTTGTGCAGTACACATTTTTGCACATACAATTTGTACAACATTACAATCATAGATAAATAAATAAACATAGATAGCTTATGTACGCAAAATCACAAAGAATTGTACAGTCCGCGAACTCATACTTCTAGGGGTCAAAGTGTACTTCAATGATAAGCAGGGTGGTTTGGTGTTTTAATGGATTTCATAATAGAGTGTAAAATAACTCCGGGAATGGAACTATTTAAACAATAATATTTCACTGAGCAATATATCATATTGACGAGAACTGAAGAAGGACATGAGAAGGACTAAACTAACTTAAATTTCTCTCTACAGAACTCATGTACACCACAAGTACTCAATGACATAAGAACAGCCAATGTTCACAACCGACCTAGTTAATCTATATAATAGGAATATCTTTAAAACATCTCTGTACATTTATATCATTCAAGATGAAAAATGTCGTCTTATGCGCAATCTATCTTTATCTATGATTACAATTCAGTTTTTTGCTTCCTTAGGACAAGAAAGGCAAAATATAATCAAATTTTTGTTCTTTTTTTACAATGTTGTTTTCAGATTTGGCGTCCATCTTACAGATTAGGCCATCACGCCACAGATTTGGCCACCATGCAATAGATTTGGCCTGTGTGCCACAGATTTGGCTGCCATGCAACAGATTTGGCTGCTGTGCCACAAATATGGCTTTATGCCACAGATTTGGATGCTGTGCTATAGATTTGGTTCCTGTGCCACACATTTGGCTGTCTTGCCACAGATTTGGCTGCTGTGCCACAGATTTGGCCGCCATGCCACAGATTTGGCCACCATACCATAGATTTGGCCACCATGCTACAGATTTGGCACAGTATTGAATGCATGCAAAGAATTTGGCTGGTGCCTCAGATTTGTCAGGGTTGCAACAAAATAAGGAGATAAGGAAAATATGGCTGCTTTGCCAGCATTTTATTTCTGTGTTGCAAGTAATCAAAATGTTTCAGGACAAGGGTATTAATCATGCATCCAGGGTGCTCCGGCAGGCAGTTAAGTTCTTTTCAAAGCGCATATTTTTTCTAACTTTTTTCCAAATTCCAAACAATCAAAAGGCTAAGGAGATTTTTGGAAAATATGAGCTATGTGTGTTCTAAAAAATGTTCCAAACAAGAGAATCAAATTAATTTTTCTGCACTTCAACACTCAAAAAGGAAAACAATTATAAAACTTTAACATCATTTTAACTTTTCTAAATGGAGCCTTTTTTACCTGCAATTGGGTGGAATACCCATGGCATCACAGTCTATCTAAAATTGCAATTACTTCTTTATTAATAATTTGATATTTATTTTGTTATTTCTTTTTGATTGTATTGCAAAAAAAAATGTTTTCAAAATGTTATAAAAAAGAAAAGTTCACTTGATCACCCAATCATGCACAAATATTGGAATTTTTCAAAATGTTTATTTTCCTTTATGATAATGAGGCTCAATTCAAGAATTACCACAGTCTTGAGGAACTACAGATGATGTAAAGTTGTATTGGGAGGTAAATAGTGTTTTACAGTTACCTGATTTTTGGAATAAATGTTTTTAGAAGGGTATGGTCCATTTCCAGCTAAATAAATTTCATTATTAGAAAAACCAATTCAAGCGACTTATTAATATTCATTACAATGCTAAAACAAGAAATCTATTTTTACATCTTCATCTGTATAATAAAGCTCTTAGCTTTATCATACTTATACAATTACACACATATGTTTACCATAGCTGGCCAAACAGTACCATAGATATCAGAGATTACATAGGAGAAATGTTGGCAGGCACTTCAGCTAAGATCTTTTAATCAAATACTGAACGCAGTATAGTAACATTTAGTACGAGTTCATTTTTGTATTGTTCACTTTTTATATAGACCTACACTCTAAGAAATCTCAAATTTTCATCTAACAAAATTTGTTGGAGCACCGGACTCAAATACACCTTAGTAGAATCATTCGTCAAATTTTGTTATATGTATTTTCAGTTGCCTTAATTCAACGTTTGTTACATGATCTATCAACCGGTGTTTGTCCACTCGCTTGGCAGCGCGGGCCGCGTCCTCCATATACGCATCATCTCACAAAGTTTGTTTCATGCCGCCGCAACCAGCAACACTGCGCGGTTTAAAAATTACCATTCATCAAAATTTGTTAAATGTCCCTTCAACTCACTGCGCAACTATGTAATCATTTGTTATATGATCATTCAGCTTTGAATCTTGACCCGTCAACAGAGGTTGTTACAGGTGGCGCCACCTACTCTCTCAAATTTTGTTGCATCAAGATTCAAGTTTGTTGCTACTTAAATCAAAATAAAATCCAGCTGTAATTAAAGTTTCCAATTTATTCCGGCTCACTTTTAGAACCTTTCGTAAAGATATTAAAAACAATAAAATATTTAAAAATTACTTTTCCGAAACAAATCTATCCTCTAGAGGCTACTAGGCGTGACATTTTTAAATGGGTTCACATTCCGTAAGAGCTTTAAAAATTGAGCCGTAAGAAACTGGAAACCGCATATAATCTGGAACCCTAAATATTTTAATATCATAAATTTGTTTTTTAACGCATGACAATCGACAATAATAAAAGGAAAAATATCCAAATAAAAGCATAATTCAATTTATTTGTAATAATAATAATAATAAATGCATCTTGTTTCATTGATAATTTTCTTCTCGTTCACCTGAAATAATAAGTTTTGGAAAAACGAAAACGATAGAATCATTGGGTCCGTCCTAGTATTCGAATAAGCCCCCCCCCCCCCTAGTATCAATTGTACATGAGCATTTTGTTTTTAGCAAATTAGTATAAATATTTAGGGTTAGGTTAGGCCCTCTAGCCTTTCTAGGCCGAGCGCCGCGGCTAGGACAGGCTAGGGTGGCCGAGCGCTGCGGCTAGGACAAGCTAAGGGCCGAGCGCCGTGGCTAGGAAAGGCTAGGGGGCCGGGCGCTGCGGCCACATGACCATCATGTAAGAATTCTTTATAGAATCCAGAAAACTTCTTTTCCGCCGCCATACTTCCATTGGATCCTAAATTTTTAAATTTTCAATGACTATAAGACGTGTAAAGATGCGGGGAGAAACTGTAAAAACTACAATTTATACTTTAAAATACAGTGCTTAGGATCCATTTAATTTTAATGTGGATCCGGATCCTGGATCCAGACTGGAAAAAAATTGATCCGGATCCAAATCCGGATCCAGGTAATTTCTTTAAGATTTACTGAATTTTTTTAACAAAAATTAATTTTCAAATTGTGTGTTTTATTTTTTTCGCTATTTTTATCCTACAACTTGATGAAACCCTTGGATCCGGATCCGTGGATCCGCATATTTTTGCGGATCCGGATCCAGGAAGCCAAAATCTTGCGGATCCAACAAATCCTTAGCACTGTAAAAATATAAAGATAAAACATGACTTTTTAGAAATTGTCAGAAAATAACCAAGCAAAATGTTTTATCGACGGCACCTCATTTTATAGGCATTGTACTCAATAAACGCACTTTTGAGTACAATAAAATGGCGCTTAAACACCCTATTTTTAGATACAATCTGTATAAATATTATATTTTTTCACACCTGTTTCTTCAACAGTTCCCAAGAACACCCTCTGCCAGAGAGTTACTAGGGCATGTTCACCTTCTGGATATTTAAATCCGCTGCTGAAGCAGACTGCCATAAGTGAGACTACAGCCTTGATTACAAATTTTCAATCAGTTTAAGTTAAAGTTTAAGATTTTCGTCGAAAACGCTGAACTTTTAACGGTATCTATGTTTCGATAGTAAACTTCTGTGCTTACAACTTGCTTAAGAAAGCCAAAAACAAATCTAGTATATTTATAATCTTTATAAATCTAATATATCATTTAAAGGAAAATTAACTACCTCAGAGAGGGAAATTCCCCTATACAGTACACTATTTTGCACTATCAAGTTGAACCGCATCCTAAATAGAGGATTTTTTAATCTTTTAATGAAATGAAATCTAGAAATCAAAATTATTTAAATTTCATTTTTAGTTTTACCTTCCTCCTAGCTCTTTATTAGGATATGGGGACTACCAATAAAATCAAAACTCTTCTGATCCTTAAAAATGATCATGTTGTGTATTTTTTTTAATGTAAAATAATAAAAGAGTTCTATGAGTGTATGTGGGAATATTTTTAGTGTATATAGGAGTACTAGGAGTTTGTTTAGGAGTACTAGGAGTTTATATATAGTAGTACTAGGAGTGTATATATAGGGGTGTATATACATAGTAAATGCCCTACTCCATTGGGATTTCTCAAACCCATATCTATCCAGGTACAATTCAATTTCACGTTATTTCATAAAAGAAGAATAAAATAGCCAGTTTAGCTTGTCAACTTTTACCTTCACCAAAATTGATGAATTATCCATACCCTCAAACTTCAGCGAACAGAACAGGAATACCTCAACCATCTCGGCAATCTAAAACATTCATGCTTTAAATTTTTATTAATTAATTGTCAGAGGTTGTTAATCTTTTGTAAATTTATGATATTTTTTTATAGAGAAATTTTTAATAAAAATTTATGAACATTGCCTTGGATGAAGAGTGTTCTATTGATGATTTACGGTTTGCTCTCTCCAGCCTCTCCTGGAATTCATGCGTGGGGAATTTTAATTCCAGCTTGACTCGAACCATGTCTATACAATTTACATATTATTAGCAGAATTATTTTGCGTTGATTATTCCTATGAGACATTTGGTTGAGTGCCTAAAGTTACGCTGGCAAAATTTCTCAATCAAATTTTTATTTTAAATAGCCAACTACTGCAGGTGGTACTACATGAATAATTCAAACGACTTTGTATCATGCTCATTTAAACTATTCTTATATGTTAATTTGAACAATCAGTTGAGCATGGATATAAAAACAATCTATATATAAATTTGGCTTGTCTGTCTGTTTGTCTGTCTGTCTGTCTGTTTGTATCCAATAAACGTCAAAACGGCTTTACCGATCGGGCCCAAATATTTTGTGGGAGAACTAGGGACCCCAGGGAAGGTTTATGAATGATCAAAATTTCAAATATTTGTCTCCATCAAAATTCGATCTCCATTAAATTTTTTAAAATTTTAAAAATCCACGAAATTTTTTGTGAAAATCCGAGAATTATTTTGTTTTGTTTTACGATGTACACAAAGAGAACAGGTTCACAATTAATTTAGAAGATGGGCACAAAGTGCCCTCTAAGGCTAGTACTTCAAATGAGTCTTAAAAATAGCATTTCATTAATTACCTGTTCTACTCTCAAACTCCATTAATTCTTCATCTATTGGTTTTCCAGTCAACCATTTCAGCTAAATACATCAATGATAGACCACTTTTTACTAGGGTTTCCAGTCGTAACTACGTTACATGTAATTATGCATAACTACACATTACATGTTGTAGTTTTTATGGATCTAGTATTTGGGACTTGAGTTCCCAATGTGTTTCAAAATTGATTACAGCATGGAATACTGCAATTAGAATTCTTTTAAATTTACCTAGAGATTTGCATAGGTACTTGATTGAAAGCAGGGGCAGACACAGGATTTAAGTGAGGGGGGGCAAGATTTTTTAGGAACAAAAAAATTGATAATTAGAAACAAAATTTCACGCAACAGGGAAAAAATTTTTTTGACTTAAAAGACTCAAATAGAGTCAAAATTAATGATTAAAGACTAAAAACCTATATTTTTAACTTTTCACACATTTTAGTTTATTAAGACAGATATTTTTCCTGTTTTGCATTAGGTTTCTTTCCCTTAAACATGCTATTGAGAAGCTATTCTGAAAATAGGAACAAAAAATTCCAAAAATAGAATCTAAAACATCAAGATGCAAAGCATTTTTATTTTCTTTTGAAAAATATCACAAATTTGACTATAAGTGAATAAAAAATAAAAGAAAAGAATAATTATTTACAATTTTATACATTACATAATCATATCATATTTCAGACTGAGGCAGTATATTATTGGTCTTTTTCACTTGCTTAATATGTACAGAACTACAGACCATGCGGATACTTGCTATAAGAATACTGTTATATAGTTTACACAAATACTGTATTTTTGAAAGAAATATAGAAACAGACTGTGCAATGTACATAGTTAAAAGCAGGATAAAAGTGAAAAATGACGAACAAATACTGCCTTCAGATTCATTAAAATTATTATTATTATCTTGGCAAATTCTCTGGAAATGCAGTCGACGAGGCTGGGCCTCTGTAAAGGCCTTAATAACGTCCTCATTGTTAAGTGAATTCAACCTGGCAGGATGCATTGCCATCCTCGCCAAGTTGCACATACATCCCTCTGTCATATTGGTGCGGAGAGAGGTGAGGAGCCTTTCGAGCTTACTGAAGCTCCTTTCCCCCTCGTTAGATTAATAGGGTAAGTTAAAATCAGCTCAATAAGAATCTTTGTTTGACTGAAGACTCGTTAAACTCATAGATGCGCAAACGTTGGCAATCAGGTCTAAGATTCAAGAAACTTTCGAGAAATATGTCAAAACTTCTATTCTAAAGTTTTCTGAGAACCAAACTGGAATTTAGCAAATATCCCACCCACTCATGAAAAAACATGTCTAGACGTCAAAGTACTTTTTGGTAACCCCCTGACAAATTTTTTCGTTGCCTACCCTTGTCACCCCGAAAAATATTATTCCCAGTTCAGAATTACTTAAATCAAGAATCATTGAATGCAAAATGCTGTTTGCACATTTGTTGGAAAACTTGGACCTTATCCTTGACCCTGAAACTTCGCAAAATCCGATCAAAATCCAATATTGGATACAATCTTTCTCGAATATTTTTCGAATTTTACCGATTCACACTCAGGAAAAAATGTTGTTCATAATATTTGTGACAATATTGGTAATCATACTTGTATCCTGTATCTGTTTCATGCAGGATACAGCAAAATCGTCAAATCCGGCATTGTGGAATAATTCAACCATTTCAGACATAAATGAAATAAAAATTCACAAAACTCATATATGTAAAATAACAAAAAGTAATAAAAACTAAAAAATTCCATTTGAATATGGACAATAATCAAATACAAAATCTCAAAACTCTGTATGGTAAATGAAAATTTTGTCGTATATTATCTAAAGATTTTAAGTTGAACAACAATTATTTCAGTTCGTATCACGTAGAATTAGATTATAGCTAATTACGTCTTGTTTCACCTAAACAGGCAAAGCCTCAAAGCCTCCCCATGCCCGTACATGAATATTTGAATGGTGCCAAGTTTGATTGGTTGTTTTTCAGCGGTTAAGGTGTTGGGATCGGATGAGTTACAGGGTTGCCGTACTGTGAACGTTGAAAAAAAAGTATATATAATTGTAAGAAAATTAATTATTCTTAAACATCCTGAAATACAAATTTTTAAAACATATACAGAGTTTTAAAAATCTTTTTTTCATTTCTAAAGAGCATTGTTTTATTTATAAAAAATCGAATGGTTTGTATTAAATCGTTTATTATTTTAATAGATTTTTATGATTA